TACTCCAGACACAATAGTCCAACGGATTGGTATCCGGAGATTTTGGTGGTCATTGTACGCTGGAAATGAAGCGAGGAACCTCATTTTGTAACCATTTTTGGGTGCGGCGTGCTGAGTGCGATGGTGCTGAGACCTGTTGGAATGACCAAGGACTGCAGCCAAAATGTTTTCGTGCCCAAGGCTTTATTACACCATTCAGCCATGGCCTGCGCTTGAGTTCTGGTGGCCAACCGAAGGCGCACATTTTGAGCTGACCTCTTTGGCAAGTAAACACGATCATTTGGTTTCTTTACAAACTGCTGGGCAACGACGTTTTCTCATCGGAGAAAACCCAATTCGGCAGTTCACCACTTTCGGCTAAGCGAAAAAACTCTTTAGCTCTTTTGAGTCTATTTTCTTTTTGTTGCGGTGCAAGTTCTTGCACTTTTTGGAATTTCAATGGCTTTACCCCGAGCTCATTTTTCAATATTTGCCGAATCGAATATTGCGATATGTTCAGCGCTCGATCCATTTTCCGGGCACTGCGACCCGGGTTTCGATCAAAAATATATGGACTGATATGACATGACTATGCAGATCATCTAAAGGATCTATGGGTCTAACTTCTTTCTTCTAGTTTCGTTCTCCATGTTACAAAAAAATGCACAAAGACATAATACCCTGACCACAGTGTGGTGTAGGGTATAAAACCTCAAGGCAAAATTACTTATATTATTTGAGAGTATGCCGACGCATACACAAAACTATAGCCTGTTTGTGTTAATGTTTTTGAAGTTATAATCCTAGATTTTTTTTAATACTTTTCAAAGCTCTAAAATCGTCGATTATTTCATATTTCTCAAAGTTTTTGTTATCAATTAAAAAACAAAAAATAATGAAATAAAAAATCCCAAAGCTTTTGATATATAAAAAAATAAATTTGAATAAATTTGGTATATAAAAAATATATTTTTTTTAAAAAATATTGGCATTGAAAAAAAATTCCCAACGCTCTATAAACGTGGACTTTTAAAAAATAAATCACAAAATTTTATTCGTGGATTTTTTGAAATATATTTATTTAAATCAGTATAAAATTTCTATAATTGCGAATTTATTTAAAAAATTCTAAAAATTTTGATCGTGGATTAAAAAAAAAAATCTCGAAGCTTACGTCTTTTTAAATATTTTTCAAAGTTTTAATCCTGAATATTTTAAATATATGATTAATGTATCTCAAAGCTATTATTCGGAACTTTTTTAATGCATTTTTCAAAGCTGTAATCTTTAACTTTTTTTCAATATTACTTATGTTATATAACAACAGCACAAAATACTGCCAGCTATTAAATTTGAAATCAACGGGAAGCAGGAAAGTAATTCTGTCTTTGGAAGGAAACCCCCTCCCAACCCACACATACATTTATTTTAGCCATTTAGCAAGTCTGATTTTCATCCTTCCTTCCTTCCTGGCGGCCTGTGCACACATCCACAGTTACACAGTCGGCGAAATGTATGAAACGAAATGAAACAGACACCGTTTTCCGTTTTCCACTTGAAATCATACAAAGGCCAGATGTTGGGCCGGGCAATTCAATGGAAACTATAAATGTGAATTTTATCTATTTTCAAGAAATTCATTAAAAAACATGGCATTTTCCATCCATGGAATTAAGTTACAAAGGTGGGATGGGGTCATTTGACAAGGTCTGCACAATCACCAAAAAAAAAATACAAAAAAAATCGACCCAACGACGGTTTTGTTTTCTTTGTATCCAAGGAAATTGAGTGTAAAATTGATAAAGACAGGGACAAGGAAGGAAGTATCCTAAATGTAACTAAATGTAATTGGAGCTTTTCATCGAATTGAATGTAAGATGAGAGTTTTCCAATGGTTCACATTACGGTGTGTTCATTAGATTTGTTATATTAGATTTTATCCATTTTATTCTGCCCTGTCAATCGATTTTAGTTATGCGCGGCATACATGTAGTTGTTTGATGGAAATAATTGGATTTTTATTGGAATTATATTTGAGTCAATTTTTCATTTGATAAGAAGAAAGAGGACACATTAAAAATGTAATATTTGAAATTTAAAATTACTTCAAAATATATTTTTTTAATTTATTACCTATGAGTGTATTTTGAAGCCAATAACTATTTACGAAAGAGCATGCCACCCTCTTATTTTAACACCGGCATGTCATATAACATGTTCTTTATAAATTATAGCTTATTTCGTGAATGGCAAGCTCATTTCCGATTTCAAAGATAATTCGTTTTATCCTTCCTCTCAATGAATATGATTGTGTATATGCTTCGACATAGTGTGATAGTACTTTGAACTTTTTAGGAAAATATTCATTAATTTTTTATAGGATTTTTCCAAAAAACAAGTTAAAAAATGATAAGTTCGGCTGGGACGAACTTTTAAAACCCTCCACCATTTTAAGAAATTTCAAACATTTCAAAAAAGTTCCGTAGAAAATACCTCTCAAATGAAACCCCTTATATGGGGGCTATACGAAGACATTCCCCCTCATAAGTAATTTTTGTCAAAGTTGTAGTACCGATTCCGAACATCAAATACGGAATTTGAAACAACTCCGGTGAATAACGCAGCTAAAAATCATCAAAATACCAAATATCAGAAGGTACCTCTGTATGAGGGCTATACGAAGATACGGAACTGCATACGCAATTTTTTGACATAGGCTGTAGAACCCATTACGAACTTTAAATATGAAATTTGAAACAATTTCGGGGAATAATGCCGCTAAAACCATGAAAATACCGAATATCGGGAGTTACCGTTATATGAGGGCTATACGAAGACGTGAACCTGCACAGACAATTTTCTGTTATAGGCTGTAGTACCTATTACGAACTTCAAATACCAAATTTGAAACAATTTCAACTAATAACGCCGCTTAAATCATCAAAATACCGAATATCGAGAGGTGCCGATATAGAGGACTATGCGAAGATGTGAACCTGCATAGACAATTTTATGTCACAGTCTGTAGTACCCATTACGAAGTGCAAATACGAAATTTAAAACCATTCCGGTGGATAATGTAGCTTAAATCCTCAAAATACCGAATATGGGGAGGTACCAATATAGATGGGCTATGCTAAGACGTGGATCTGTAGACAATTTTCTGTCTTATGATCTAATACCCATTACGAAGTGTGAATATGAAATTTCAAACAATTCCGGAGAATAATGTAAATCATCAAAATCCCGAATATAGGAAGGTTCTGATATAGGGGGCTATATCTAAACGTGGACCTATATAGCCCATTTTCAATACCAAAAGTCCTGAAAACCAAAGACACATTTGAGTAATTATAAGTAATTTTTTATTATAGGCTGTAGTACCGATTCCGAACTTCAAATTCGAAATTTGAAACAATTCCGGCGAATTATGTAGCTAAAATCATTAAAATACGAATATAGGGATGTACCGATATAGGGGGACTATACGAAGACGTGGACCTACATAGGCAATTTTCTGTCACAGGTTCTAGTATTCATAAGGAACTTCAAATACGAAATTTTAAACAACTCCTGTAAATAATGTACCTAAAATTATCAAAATACCGAATATAGGGAGGTACCGAAATATGGGAACTATGCGAAGCCGTGGACCCATATAGCCCATTTCAATACCAAAAATTCTGAAGACCAAAGACACATTTAAGTAAAATTTTATTAATCTACTTCAATTCGTTCAGAAGCTAGAATGATTTCCACAGACGGACGGACATACAGACAGACAGTCGGACAGTCGGACATCGCTAAACTCAGCTGGAATTTTATGCTGATCAAGAATATATATAGTGTGTAGGCTCTAATTTTTTTCGTTGTGTTACAAACGGAATGACAAACTTAATATACACTCCATACTATGGTGGAGGGCACTAGTCGGGCACACCATGATAATTCAGATAATAACACTAAGCTACAAAAATTCAACTTTTTCGCTAATGGTTACGGGACTATTGGATACCATCGATGTGTAACTCATCGAAATTGCGTCTGTATGTCCCGTGTTGCTTGGGATTGAATCCTCTTTCTGACAGCTTGAGATCGATGAAGAAATTTTAAAATTTGGTTCATCAAAAAATTTTTTTTTCGAAGATGCCAAATCTTATTAATACATTCCAATGTTTAATTTAATTTTTTTTTGTCTCTCACTCAATTCACTTCATTTTAAAAATTTCTTCATTAAAGTCTTAAACAAATTCCCTTCGACTATATTCAATTCGTTTGGCATTCAATTGGAAATTCATTCGATCTACCTTCAAAGATTTGCTTTCCCCAACTAAGCCAATCGATTAATTAGTTTCTCGACAGACTATTGTCATTTGGGACGTGTGTGTTTGTGTGTACATGTATTGGTATTACATTACAGATTCAAACACAAAAAAATATATTTTATCCCTTCGAACAAGGATAATTCGTTCACAGGCATGTTCAAATGATTGGCCTTGTCAACAAAGACTACCAAACATGAGCATGAACATTTCTATCAATTCTCAGCCACATTTAGTCATGACCAATACATTCTCAAAGGAGAAGAAAAAAAGATAAATGGCATTAATTAAAAGGGAAAATCATTAATTCAACGCCAAACACACACACACACTCACACACACGCTCACCCATCGCCACAAGTCGTAAGCCATAAGCCCTTAATCCTGCACCTGTCGTGTGTCGCTTTTGTAATTGTGGCCACTAGTTTTGGGCCACCAATACCACCAATTCTTGGTGGGGATCCAATGTTACATTTAATCAAAATCACCAAAGCAGTTACCGTAAATCTGTCATCCGAGCCATACACAAGAAATAAATCTTTCTTTTTTTTGGAGGGTCATGAAGGATGACAACCATGAACTGGGTAATAAAGCCATTACTAATTTGGGAAAGGGGGATATATTTTACTCAATATAATAAACAATACCCACAAGTGTTAAATTAATAAATTTATTACATTTTATTTATCTGTCTTACAGGCTGGAAGGATTCAATACTTTCCTTGCCCAAACGATGGCTTTCCACTGCAGAGTCCGTAGACGAATATGGATTTCCTGACGTAAGTATTGAAATTTTTAGTCTTATGAGTAGATTAAAATAACCAGTTAAGGAGAAGGTATTAACATTTTTCGGGGCCAAAGCCTGGGAATGGAAAATGTTTCTGCTAAAATACCTGTGAAAAGATTTCTAGTCCAATAAAGTTGGAATCTGACTAAACTATGGTACCCGAGGAAAATATAAATGTTTATTTGGTAAAAACGTTACAGTAAGTTATTTGACCAAGCTTTAAACAAATTACTTTTCCTATCAACCGGTAATAGTTTTCGAAAAATTATCGTAACTTCCTACAGGAAATTAAACAAGTAAAAAAGCTGTATGTTCGGCCGGGCCTGCAAATATCCTCCACCATTTGGTACAAAAAAAAAATGTCACAAAAAAAAATCCTGTTAAAGTCTTAAAGATACCGAATGTAGCCGTATATTAGGGTCTATACGACGACGTGGACGTGGGCGTAGGCAACTTTTGTCACAAGCTATCACAAAATTTAAATGCGAAACTTGAAAAAAATGTCTTTATAATGTAGCTAAAATCATCAAAATACCGAATATAGGGAGGTACCATTGGGGTTATAAAACGTGGACCTGCACAGACAATTTTCTGTCATAAGCTGTAGTATCCATTACTAACTTCAAATACAAAATTTGAAAAAATGCCGCTAAAATCATCAAAATGCCGCATATCGGGAGGGACCGTTTTATAGGGGCTATACGAAGACGTGGACCTACATGGCCCATTTTTAACACCAAAAGTTTTGCAGACATAATACACATTTGAGTAAAATTTTATCAACCTACTTCATTTCGTTCCGAAGCTAGAGTGATTTCCACAGAGGGATAGACGGACGGACTTAAATAAATCGACATAGAATTTTATGCTGATCAAGAATATATATACTTTGTGGGGTCTAAAATGTATATTTCGAGGTGTTACAAACGGAATGACAAACTTAATATACCCTCTATACTATGGTGGAGGGTATAAAAAAAGAATAAAAGACAGCTTCCGAAAATAAAAAGACAAAATAGTTTTGGGTGTATGAGTGCCAACACCATAAAAAAATATTTACCGATATTTCGAATCGTATAAATATTTAAGTTATCGGCAATAAAAAATTGTGTCCCAAAATTGATAGTTTCTACATTTACTTAACGAATGCGAAAGGAGTATCCGATTTGCATCAAACTTGAAAATAGGTTCTATGGTATATTCGTCATGCTACCTTTCCCACGAACTTTCAAAATTTACTATTACTAAAAACTTCGAAATGTAATAAAATTTAAATTTGTTGGACGACTGTTGGCATACAAAAGCATTTTGGTGAGAATTTTCCAGAAAAAAAGTTATTCGTGATGGAATTAAAGCGTGACTTCTTTATATTTGGCTGGAAAACCACAAGTGGCTATCGTTAGAGCTCCAATACAGCATTTGAATGTGAATAAATCTTTCGTGTCTCGTACCATCGCTCGTTACCGTGATACTGGTAGCGTAGCTAGATGGCAAGGAAGTGAACGGAAGAAAACAGCAACACCAGTGGCCGAAAAATGGCTAGTGAGCTGAACATATCGCAATATTCCATTCGGCAAATATTGAAAAATGAGCTCGGGATAACGCCTTTGAAATTCCAGAAAAAGCAAGAACTTAGACCGCAACAGAAAGAAAAGACAGTCAAAAGAGCTAAGGAGTTGCTTTGTCGAAATTGGTGAGCTGCCGAATTTGGTTTTCTCCGATGTCCAGCAGTTTGTAAGCAAACAAAGTGATCTTGTTAACTTGCAAAAGAGGTCAGCGGAAAATGTGCATCTTCGGTAGGCCATGGTGATGGTGTGGGCCGCCCATAACAGCCGATGGTTGCTCTCCGCTCGTATTAATCGACAGTGGCATCAGAATAAATGCCGAATATTATCGCGAAAATATTCTGGAAGGTGTATTAAAGCGTTGGGCACGAAAACATTTTGGCCGCAGACCATGGACATTCCAACAGGACTCAGCACCATGGCACTCAGCACGCGCCACCCAAGAATGGTTACAAAATCAGGTTCCTCGCTTCATTTCCAGTGCACAATGGCCACCAAAATTTCCGGATACCAATCCGTTGGAATATTGTGTCTCGGAGTATTTTGAAAAGCAAGGTTGGCACTAAAAAACACCAAAGTTTCGATCCCTCCAAGCAAACACTTTGCCGGGAATGGGCTAAAATCCCGCAGAGCAACATTCGGGCAGGGTGTGACGGTTTCATTGGCCGTTTGAAGGCCATAATTCGTGCCAAAGGTGACCAATTCGAACAAATCTAAACTTATTCTAAAATTTGATGCTATTTCCGACATTCAATAAAATTAAAAAAAATGTAAAAATTATGACGTTTGACTTTGTTGCAGTTTTTTATCTCACCCTGTATAATGGGCACTAAACTAGTTTGGTCTGCGATTTTGATCTACTAACCGAATATTATCCACTTAGAATTTCCTAATACCCATAGTGACTGTTGCACAGTGTACTTATTCCTCATTGCGCATAGTCCCCTGTATAACTGTACCTGCAAATTGAAGTACCTTCAAGGTATCGGTAAAGTTTTCGGGATGATACGAAACGAAGTTCGTAAATGAGTCCTTTCGGTCCACGTTTTCGTATAGCGTTCCTCCTTTTTTCGAAATTTTGATACAATTAGTGACTTTATTTAAATTTCGTATTTGAAGTTCTGAATCGGCACTACAGCCTATGACAAAAAATTACTTAGGCAGGACCAGGACTTCATATAGCCTCCATTTAACGGTTTTCATTAAAGCGGTATTTTTTTAGATATTAGATATTCTTCAAAATGGTAGAGGGTATTAACAGCTGGCCCTGGCCGATCTTAGCGCCCTTTTAACTTGTCACATTTGATCAGGTAGATTTTACATTTTTTACCAAGACTAAAAACTTTTAATTCCGGAACATATTTCCCTGTACTATTTTCTCTCTCACACCATAAATTAAAAGTACTAATCCATTTCAACATTTAGCCATAAATATTTTATTAAATCAACGGTAGCTAGACAACCTAAAAGGTTAGTTTTAAAAGCTTTAACTTCGTTGAAGTTACTTTCATTCGTTCATTTATTTGTTCTTTTGATGCTGTGTGTCCTTTCCTCGTGTTCATCTCCTTCCGTGTGATTGGTATTAAAACGGGGGATATATTAGGTTTACACAGGCAGGCAGGCAGGCGGATATACAAACAGCAACTACAAACAGGATAAAGCAACAAACAAACACCACACCATGTTCTGTGACATCGAAGAGGTGGGTGCGCACACACAATGGAATTGTCATAGTGACAGTTGCAGCTTTAACCAAAACCTAAGAAAAAACGGGAGAGAAAATAAACAATGCAAACAAATAAGTCAACGGTGACACAATGAATAAATCAACGAACAATGACGATGACAACAGACTGTATGTCTGTCTGTCCAACTGACTGACTGACAGACTGACTGGCAGGAATGTCTCATTTCAGTTGTCTGTCTACATCAGCAATGAGTTTGTTTCAATGCTACCGTTAAACAAATAGAAAAACGTGAGCGTGGCAGATCCTTGCCAAGAATTCAGAATGGTTTGCTGACGGATGATAGAAGAGCAAAGAAAGCTTCTGCAAAGAAGAGGGGAGGTGGGGGACAACTTTCCAACATGTTTGAAAATATTTGCATTACTAATTATAACAAACAAGATTACTCGCAATGTTTGCATTGTTGTCTCAGTCACCAGCGTTCGCCTCAACGCAGTGTTGGATAAAACACAGGAAATTAAATGCTGGACCTTTAGTTTATATGGTAAGAAGAGAATTTTAATATTTAATGAAAATGTCAACATTATAGGGAGAGATACAAAAAGCTGGATCAAGGTAGCTAAAAACGCATGTAACAAATTTTCCATGGATTTTTAGGTTCCTTGATAAAAGTTTTATAAGTAACAGTAATTAAGGCCGAATGGATCCCAGTATTTCATATGAGATTTATGAGTTTTTCATTAAAAATGGGTCATATTTGCCCACCTTACATTATGGCATCAATACAATTACATTGAAGCATCAATTAATTGCCCAAAACCAAGTCTAAGTCGATTTAGAGAGGTCCGTCTGTCAGTAAGCCTGTCTGTTGTCTTTCGAACGATTTGAGATAGAAGGCTAACATTTTGAACACATGTGTATTTTGCGAGTAGGCAGGTTAAGCTCGTAAATAGGTCATGTAGGTCCACGGTAGGTGTGGTGTCTATGTAGGTCCACGTCTTCGTATAGACCTCATATAACGGTGCCTCCCAATATTCTACATTTCTTTTTTATCAGAATTGGTTCAAATTTTGTATTTAATATTCGTAATGGGTACTACAGTCTATGTCAGAAAAGTACTTATGGACGTCTTCGCATAGCTCCCATATACCGGTTCTTATGTAAGCGGTGTTTTTCGACGGATTTTTATACCCTACACCACAAGGTGGTTAGGGTATTATGTCTTTGTGCATTTGTTTGTAACAGGCAAAAGGAAACGAGATAGACCCATAGTTCCTTTTGATGATCTGAGTCGATTTATGCATGTCCGTCCGTCCGTCCGTCCGTCCGTCTGCCCATGTATATTTGTAAACAAAGTACAGGTCGCATTGGCCCAAGGACGAACCCTATTGAAATTGGATATAGTCGGTCAAAATTTAGATATAGCTCCCATAAATATCTTCGTCCGATTTGCCTTTTATTGTGCACCGAACGTGTAATATCAGCCTGAATTGTATGGAATTTTGCATATACATCCAAATTAGGCCTGAAAATAAGCATGGCAAATTTCATCGAAATCGGTTCAGATATAGCTATAGCTCCCATATATATTGTTCATCCGATTTTTTAGTTTTGTCCTCCGCAGGTGTAATATACACTCTGTAACAACAATATTTGGGGAAATATATCAAATACAGCTGAGAAATACCATTGCTAAATTTTATCGAGATCGGTTCAGATTTGGATAGAGCTCCCATATATAA